GAGAGAGAGAGAGAGAGAGAGAGAGAGAGAGAGAGGATATCTTCCTCATGTACAGACGCCCCCTTTACTGTAGTGTGATCTCAAATTTTAACTTTTAAAGCTCAACTTTGAAAGAAAAGCTTCTTACTCTAGTTCTTAACTTTTTTTTTGGTGTCAATAGAGTGTAGTCCCCACCCCGCTGGTAAACGAAGCCAATTTGCCCCCTCATCTGTCACGCGCGATGAACTGTGGTAAATAATGTCAGGAAAGCGATAAGGTTTATTTATTTAAGAAAGAAAGATATTGTCACACATTCCTTAAGTGATCGCCGTATCGGGGTGAAAACCACGCGACGTAGCCTCGAGCGTGTGCGAGGCGCATGCACCATGCGCTCTCAGAGATCAGTTTCGAGCTCTGTTATCAGCGATATAGAGTGCAGATAACTTTAACTGGTCGATTTTGTGAGGTTTGACCTATCTACTCCGATTTCTTTTGACATGAAGGATGAAGATTCCACTGAAAACTAATGTTGTTTTTGAAGTCGAATGTGTTTACCGTAGTGACGCAGTTGGTCGAACTACTTTACCAAGACTCGAGGGTTTTATTTCCCCCCCTCTCCTTTCTTGAAATGTTTGTGTCATCTGTTTTTTGTTCTGAGTGAAGGTTCAGCAGTGCGCTTACGAAAGCGCTTGTGTAGTACATGCACTTCATTTTCAGAATTCCCTTGACGTCATGGTACCACTTTTGTGATTTCAACGTATTTCCGCTTTGCGTGCACATCCTTTAAGGTTATGTCGCACATAAAATAAACCTGAACGTAAATATCCACCCTCATCATTTCACTGTGTCATGACTTCGTGTTATTTTTTCACTCTACATTTGTCGACTATGATAATAAAATGTCTGGTTTTATTTTTATGTAGTTGTTTTACACCCCCATCGACACAATGTAGATATGGGTGGTTGGCGGGTACTCTCGTGTGGTTTACTCCTTCTTTCCTATCAAACATCTGTCGTCTTTGTCTCTCCTCCTTTTTTATGTCTGTTACTTTCTTGTAACACCTCTAATCTTGGGCACTTATATGACCTTATTGTGTTGCAAGTGCCGTAAAACACTTACTAAGACTAAACAATGTAGATAATTTAGGAGGCTGGCTTTGGCGCTGCCTGTCAGAGTCAACCCAGGCTGAGAGGGATACAACCCAGCAGAAAGACTGAGTGACTCGATAAATACTCTTCCCTTACGGGAATCGAACGCAGGTCTTTCATGTGGGACGACGGAACTCTTAAATTCCTCGCTTCAGCACGGATGTCAGTGAATATATCTGTGGTAGCGTCCCGTTCAGTCAGCTGTGTGATATGTTTCAGGTCTGACAGCTCTTCACTGTAAGGTTGTTCAAACGATGGGATCTCCGATTCAAAGTCCTGGACCGATTGAACGTAGTCAAGTAGTTTGTTACCGAAATGTCTTGTGATGTATTAGATATCCTCTGTTTGACACCCCC